TGGGAGAGATTTTTAATTATAGGCAGACTTGTGTGAAGTTTTAAATATTTATATTTAAGGTATATTTAGCATCCAGGTCTATATTGACCCCTGGGAGTTCCTGGACTAGTCCTTGCAGTTTTTCTTGGCAAGGTTTTCAGAATGAAATTATTGCTCATTATTGTAAATAAATGGGCACAGCCTTCTGCAGGTGGCAGTGGCATCTAATACTTTAATATTAAAAAGTCAAAGAGGGTTTTTAACAAAAAAGACAATGTTTTTTAACTATGACTGAAAATATATTGTTCATTACAAACATATATAAATACGTGAACTTGCCTCTTTGGTGAAAAATGGCTTTGCATAAGAGCAGCTTGATTCATTGCATGGATCCAGTCATTCATATCTTCTTGAGTATCTGCACTAAAGTAGTACGTGCGCATCCCTGAATGTTCTGCCTGAGAGCCAATAACAGAACTCTTATTATAAATATAAGCCCTCATGCCTGTATGGATAGCCTGTAAACAGAGAGAGATTGAGGCACTTTAGCCAATATCAAAGAAGAAAATCCCATGTTTTTGAAAGAGCAGCAGCTACTTAAATTGAAAAATGTTTTAAATAATCAATAGGGCCTATGTTACAAAAATATAAGGTGGTACCATCAAAATCACTACAGTACAGCCTTGATGGTTTCTATATAATAGGATAAACTTCTGGGACTTTTTTTTTCATACAATTCCAATGATATCACAGCTTGTTTCTGGCCTTTGTATCAGTAACTTAACATTTTATAACATTCCTCTTATCTCAAGAAAATGGATGGCAAAAATTACACTGACAGGCCAGCAGAGTTTATGTTTTCTCATTCTTTGGCTGAAATTATAAATATTATATTGCTATGTAAAGAATAGTATATTGAGAAGAAGAAAATTAAAAATCTTTAATACTATCAATTTTTATTGGAATGAATATTTTTAAAGAGTTATTTTCTGTTTTTATTAAAATATAAAACTGTTGCCATATACTGAGATTGGTTATCACCACTTTGAATACACTATTTTACTGTGCAATACAATTTTTAAAAGTGATAGTTAGCACCTTCTGGATCATATCACATTTGGGGCAAGCTAAGTACAAAAATTTGTTTCTTATTAGAGTTGATTTACATGCCATGCTGCAGGCAGCCACAACATTCAGTGAAACACAGGGCAGAGTACAGTATTTGGGGGAAATCAGAACAAGAGGGAACATCATACGGATTAGTTCAAATTATGATGCTACTACATACATGCCACATTAGCAAAGACAAGGAAGGGAACTTAATGCCACAACTAAATCTGTTTTATTATAGAGGCATATAGTAACACTATATCAAACACAGAGCTTTAGCATCAGAGGAAAATGTGTGGATAAATAAATAAAGCTAGCAAGTTGCACTTATAAATTGGCAGAATTCACAGTTAAAATCCATGACAAAAGGAACTACTTTTATCTTTTTGGCAAATGTAACACAACTTTCAGGTTGCTCATATATGTATATACATGAAAACAAAGAACTGAAAGCTTCTCATTTTCTTGAAATGCTCATCAAGATATTCAGGCCCTGAGTTCCACTTAACTTTCTTTAGGCAAATCTATTCACACATATATACATAGTTTACTAGTGCACATTGTCAAGGTAGATGTTGGTGATTCTAATCTTTTTTACCGTGAGCTCCTGGGTTCTCTCTGAGCTTGGTTGTTTTCTTGCAGATGTTTTATTACCGAACTATGTAACACTGTCAGTGCTAATAAGTATTGGTTTTACACTCTGTTTATATACAGTAGCTTGCCCTACACATGTTGATGTATGCTTTTCTCCTTAGTAGTTCTTTGATTAGATTATTGTTTTCTGCTAGATTGTTTGTCTGGTGTTAATCCCTGTTTATCTGGGTGTAGGTTGTTGGAGATATGTATTCTGTTTTTTTGTTCCTTTTTAGTTTTTTTATTGTCTCTTTTGTAAATGTGGTTTATCTATATATGTTTATGAATGACTGAGATTAAAATGTCTAGCCATTAGCAAACCTCAAAAACCTCTTAAAGACAACTATCCCAAATCATAGAGATAAAGAGTCCTTCTGTGAGGGAAGTGAGCAGTTTCAAAATTGGATGGATGGATGGATTAATTAATTTAATTAATGCAGATATATTGACTAAAATCAAATCTCCCACTATAAGCAGTATTCGGTGAATGCTACTTTTAGAGATCAGTACTGAAAATGTCAGAATGTGGGTTACTTTTCATTTAGATGAAATTATTTAAAAAATACTGGTTTCCTGTGTATAGACATTGTAGCTGTGAGCTTCTTCATTGTTCTATGCAATTAGTGACAATAACGTGGTCAATACTGGTCAGGATATCCTAGAACAGGGGCCTTCAAACTTGGCCCTTTTATGACTTGTGGACTTCAACTCCCAGCATGGCTGGCTGAGGAATTCTGGGAGTTGAAGTCCACAAGTCATAAAAGGGCCAAGTTTGAAAACCCCTGTTTTAGAATTACCATATTTATCCAAGTAATGGTGGGAATGACCAAAGGAACCATAACTGATCTGATGAGCCATTTGCAGCTTGTACTAGTAACAATAAATAAATTATGCTTGATATTGGTTATGGGCTTTCTGAATTTTAAGATGGGTTATACAATCATAATAAAGATTGATTGGCTCCTAAACTACTTTCTCCAGATGAGGGACTGTAGAACAACCTTTTCATTGATAGTCTAGTTAGAAAAGCAGAAAGCAGAACTTTGCCAATATCCACATTTGGTGGCAAAAGAAAGCAAGCTTACACAATTAGAGTAAGCAACACATGTCATGTTATCAGCAAACCCTGCCACTAGAAGGACTATCTCCACCATGTGTAACTGATAGCATAAAACAGCAATGTCTAAATATAAGCCAGTTATCTCTTAGCAGCACACCAAATAAGCAACATAAAAAAGCTATGATTGTAAGTGCAGAGACAATCAGTAACAGTAAAACACACAAGAGTTTTGTGAGCCATAAATTGGGATAAATAGTTCTAATTTACAACCATTTTTAAATACATCACATACACATTCACAACAGGGATGAAAAAGTGATATTTGGTACCTATTCATGCATTCAGATGCCCTTATTCTGGAAAGAGGGAGAAGGAAAGGCAGTCTCTTTCCCATATTGCACAGAAGAAGAAATGGAGAACAAACCCAAAGCACACATCAATAAGAACAGAACAAGAACAAAGTCGAAAAAGTTAAAAAGATGGAAGCCTAAATCATTAATAGGAATTTGGTGTAAATTCAAACCCTTAGAAACAGTCATTCACTCTTTTTATAAAATGACTGCATGGAATCTTAACTCTTCTGAAGTTCACTTAATTTTCCTTCACAATTTTTCTCACGCAAATACTTGAAACTAAAAAAACAGCAGGACTGCTAAATAAAATCAAATTGATAGTCCTGAATGGAAACATTAAGGAATCAGTTAAGAAGACAGTTAAATAGAAAGCACAGAAAGAGCATGTAATTACTAGCAATGTGCCTTTAAGATTTTCATCCATCCAAGAAAAATCAGTGCAGTCTCCTAAGATAAGAAATGTGCAACATATTATTTTAATTGTTTTCATACACAATACAGGATACGAACCAATATTACACAAATTAGCTTATGTAATGTAGGCTCTAGGCTTTCTGGCTACAGAATAAAGAATAAATATTGGATTCTATAGATTCTTGCAGACAAAAAAAGTTTATGAATGGATGGATGGATGGATGGAAAGAAGGAAGAAAGGAAGGAAGGAAGGAAGGAAGGAAGGAAGGAAGGAAGGAAGGAAGGAAGGAAGGAAGGAAGGAAGGGTTAATAGTGGGGTATTTTTCAAAGTACCAATGTGTTTCAGATATGCTAGCTTACATTAAATCTGGGATAAAAAATTCTCTAATTTTTAAATGGAAAGCCATTGGGAATAAGAGCTGTTGCATGTTTTGCTTCATTGGAAAAGACAATGGGAATAAATCCTGGTGTTTTAGTTCTAAGTAACTATATGGAATTGCACTACTAATATTTAATATCAATCTATTTATTGGAATATTATCTATGAAATAAAGTCAAAGTATGCAAAGGAATAAATAATTCTGAAAGTAGTAGTTGTGACAATAAACATTTGGAAAAGAACTGCCTACATTTTTACGAATAATGCAAAGTATTAAACAGAAGTATTTGACTTCAAAGATGAAATAATTTAGATTAATACATAAACTGATTTAGATACAACAATGGAAAATAAATTACCCTGGGCTCAGGACTTAGGACATAGAAGAGAGAAAAGGAATGCATCATTACAACCAATCTGAAAAACTGCTTTTACGGATTCATTAAGACACTACATTTTCCACCAAAGAAATGAGAAAACTAAATTGTTTATTCCACCATTTCTTCCTATAAATAGCAAATTATAATGCATGAGTATGCTACTGTTATAAACATTAGCAACAGAAATTCATGCAGATATGAGCCTTAAGTTAGACTACTGCAGTTTACTCTCAACTGGGTCATCTTGAGAGACTATATCGAAACTGCAGTTGGTGTAGAATGCAACTCCTTAGACGATGGAGAGTGAAAGCTGCTACAGCTATGTTATTCCATATACTGAGGCACTGAATGGGTTATCTACAGTCTCCATATATTGATTTTGACTTTTAATGCCCTCAATGGCTTGGCTCCTAGCTATCTGCAGGAATGCCTTTTTCAGGTAGAGCTATCCTATCAAATGAGTTCATCCCATCTAGAGATATTATCTATACCCAGTATGTGAGAATTTACATCGGTCGGGGTCCAAAGGTCAAGTGTCTCTGTCATGGTCTCTATGACCTCTTAGAAATGAGATTTGTTTCAACAGGGACATACCTCCATAAAGTAGCGAAAAGTGAATTATTTTGTAGGGGGTTGCAGCTATATAGCGTTCACAAAGGCCAATGGAGGTGAGGTTTGAACTGTATATTATATTGATATTGTATTTTTTAAACAGTTTTCATTTTCATTGACTGCTCTATTTTTATTCAATCTATTTTTTATTTTATTTATCGGTAAATTTAGCCATGCAATTCACATAAATAACTCTGAGTGACATACAAAGTTAAATACACTAAAACAATACAACAAAATACTGATAGTCCTCGACTTGCCACAGTTCAATTAGTGACCGTTCAAAGTTACAACGGCACTGAAAAAAATGACTTACAACCATTTTCCACACTTATGACGATGCAGCAACCCCATGGTCATATGATTAAAATTCAGGCGCTTGACAACTGGCATGTATTTATGACGGTTGCAGTTTCCTGGGATCATGTGATCACCTTTTGCAACCTTCTGACCAGCAAAGTCAATGGGGAAGCCAGATTCACTTAACAATTGTGTTACTAACTTAACAACTACAGTGATTCACTTAACAACTGTGGCAAGAAAGGTTGTAAAATGGGGCAAAAATTCACTTAAGAAATGTCTCACTTAGCAACATAAATTTTGGGCTCAACTGTGGTCGTAAGTCAAGGACTACCTGTAACCCAATAACATTAAAAAAAAATTTTAAAAAAAACATTACAAAAAAACCCCATACACCAACAAGGGGGTGCATTCTATTCCCCTAGCAATACAGCCACTTAGCAGGTCCCATTCCCATGTCATGGGATCCCCAGACCAGATGCAAGCCAAGTTTTCAGGCTCTTCTGGAAGACCAGCAAGATCAGGGTTAACCCGGCCTTGGGAGCAATGATCTTCCAGAGAATTATGTACTGTGGCAGAAAAACGCTACCTTCTAGTCTCCCATCAGATACATTATTTTGTGGATGGGGCCTGCAAAATGCCTTTCTTTTATTATGTACTAGTTTTTATATTTTACTGTTCTAAACTGTTAGTCTGAAGGTTCACAGTATATATCATGGGCAAATGGTCAGGGAGCCTAACTCATCTATCTCTATTTTTATCTTCAGGATCACAAATGATTTGAACATTTATATCTGTGAAATATGGAGCATGTAATTTATTTTACTAATCAATAATACACAACTTTCTAGAGAATAATTTAGCATACATATTTTATGATGAAGTTAGAATTATGTATTCATTGCAGGTAATTCAATGGCACTTTCTTCCATCTATAAAATATGTACACTGGTAAAATGTAATATCACCTAATTAACCACCCATAGTAATTAAACGTTTGGGACTATATTATAGATAAATAAATCTATTATCTCTTCTGGAGGCACTCTGCCTGACTTTTCACTTGGGTGCAGTTTGTGGGTTAGCATTATGCACACACATAATGAAACCAACAAACTACTTTGCAATTGGAAGAACTGTGGTTTAGGTTTATGATTATTTATGTAACATAAAGTAAGCACATTCAGTGCTAATTACAGTTTATGAAACAAAATGAAGGAAGATAGCCATGTAGCTACCTTAAATCACTTTTCCATTGTAAAACACTTAGCCAAAATGTTTAGGGTTATATATATAATGTAACATCTAATTCTTTTTGGAAAGCAGAATACAAATATGGATGGCATATATTTTTGACTTCTTTTTAATTAAACATACTTCCAAACACAATATACCATCTCTTATCAATTAGGTAAAATGTATTATATTAACAAAGTTGCTTTTTTCTGATAGGAATCTTTTCGCAGTGGAAAAAATCCTACTGCAAAACAAATTGATATTTCCACCCACTTTTTACAATCATTTTTGGACTTAATCTTTTTGTATCGAAGAACACCAAATAAGCTAAGAACACCAAATAAGCTAATAAATTCATATGTATAGTACTTATAAAACTCAGCATTATATGTTTCTGGGTTTTAATGTTAAGCCAGAGTACTAAATACTATACTAACTAATATCAACAGAGCCTAAATCTAACTATAGGTTGAAATGATTTTCCAAATACAGTCAAACTAATGCAAGTTGTGTTAAAACTAATCCAATTCCTGATGATGATAAATAGGAAAAAAATATTGCATATGCAACAAGGGTAAAAGTTTAGAATTGTGTAGACTACTATTGCAGAATTTGAGAAGCCATCCACTTTATGTAATGAGCTTTTAAAAACATGCTACATAATATTTATAAATACATTATTCTAACTATAGAATTAGAATTTGTCAGGTAATTTGCCAGTTGGAATCATCCCAGGCTGGCTCAATTCAGGGCCCAGTCAAGGAAAAGAAAAGTCCAAAACCTATTGTTTTGCAAAATCTACCCAAAGACATTTAAGATATTTATTTATTTATTTATTTATTTATTTATTTATTTATACCCCGCCCTTCTCCCGGAGGACTCAGGGCGGCTTACAGCCAGTTTAAAACAATCCCACATAAATACCAAATACAAATCTAAAATAATTAAAAATAAATATTTGAATTGGCCGCTCTATTAAAATTTTGTTAAAACCAATTAAAATACCCCCTAGGCCAGTCCTGCCTGCTGAAACAGCCAAGTCTTGAGGGC